CTATGTGCTGATGAAGAGGAGGAAGGGAGGGAGATGGAGAAGAGGAAGAATTGAAGAAGAGGAGGAGAGGCAGGCAGGCAGGCCTGGAGAGACTGGCCTGCACCAAACTGCTTCCCCAGAGTTTTTGGAGAAGGAGAACAGCAACATTCAGGAAAGCCATTCAGGAAAAGGAAATGGGCTGGGGATGAATCTCTCCTCCTCCTCCTCCTCTGCTTCACAGTCTTTCAGTTCTTGGTGCCCAGAGTCCAGGTGCATCTCGGCCACAGAATTCCTTCCGCAGAGAGAGAAGATGCCTCTGGAAGAGAGGACCTTGGCCAAGAGGGAGATGCTCTTCTCGTTTTGCCTGCAGAGCGAACAGCGGGAGCGGATGTGAGCCTGCCCCTGGAATGGCCCACGTCCACAGGAGGCCTGGAGGGAGCAGGAACACCCCACAGCAAGGGGCAAGAGTGCAATCCCACTGGGGAACTGGGAAAGATGGGAGGATCCTGGGACAAGTGTGCCCTCTTTGGCCCCAGAAGGAGGGCAAGTCCCAAGGTCCCAGATGAACATCCGGAAGAACGCACATGCAGAGCATCTTTCACCATCTGGAAGTGCTTCTCCACCAAGCAGGAGGGCTTCAATGTGGGTCCCCGCATGGGGCTGGGGAAGGTCTAGATGGCCCTTGAGTTTCCCTTCCAACAAAAGGGTTGGGTGTTGGCCTGTTGCAATCTCCAAGGGAAGGCTTCAGGGAGGCAGATCTGCCATGCTTTCCCTCCCCTTGCAAAACAATGCATGACTAGTCACATATGAGCAAGGCAAGGCTGCTCTTAAGTGGATCTGTCATTGGTTAACCATTGTTTTGCTTGGATCTTGCATACTTTCCTGACAGTCTTACTCTGGACCAGACTCTCTCCTAGGAAGTGCGGCTGACTTCTAAAGGGAGCTTGTTTGCTGTAGAATGAATGCAGTTAGACACCACTTTAACTGGGGGTAGCTGCAAGTTTTCCAGGCTGTATGGCCATGTTCCAAGAGCATTCTCTTCTGACATTTCACCCACATCTATGGCAGGCATCCTCAGAGGTTG